TGTGTGTGTGTGTGTGTGTGTGTGTGGACAAGGCCCTGCGAGCCTTGAGCTCAGCCACTTTTTATTAGGTCCAGCCCTCCCAGGTTGTTGAAGCAGCCCCGGAGGCCCGCGCGATGCTGCCCACCTTCTTGGGGGCGGGGTGGCCCCTTCTGCAGCCCCCCCCAGAAGCCCTCGCCGGGCCCAACCATTTTCCCTCCTCCAGCGGCTCTTTTTGCGGCTCCTCCCCCCTGCTGCCCCCCCCCCCACCTCTTAGGCTAGGAAGCATCAGCTGCCAGCCGAAGCAGTTCCTGTCTGCCGGGCACCACCATGCCCTTCGCCCTCCGTGCTTTCAGTTCCAAACCTGGGGAGCCAAACTTGGGCTCCAGCCTTGTTCTCTCGCCCCCCCCCCCCCTCACCCAAACCGCAGGGGCTGCCCTGTCTTTAGTCCCACCTAACACAGAGAATCTGTGTTCAGGACCAGCCCCTGCCCTGGGACATGCCTGGAGGTGAGCAGCCCCTCCGTGGGCATCTGCCACATTCACGGCAGGCATTGGGGGGGCCTCTGTAAGGCGGCTAATGCTTTGTGCCTGTGCCAAAGACCTAAACTAAATCCCACAGCAAGCTTAAGCTACCAAGGAAGACTTAATAAGCTACTCAGTCCATCACGCCTATTTTCAGATCATGCCCACCCCATCCTGGATTATCTTTCAACAGGTACCGTTCTTCCCTCTTTCATAGGCTGACATACATGTCTTGTTCTCGCCTGCCCCTGCGCCCCCCCCCCCCCGACTCCCATGCAGGTTCACACTCTCCTGCCAAACTAAAGAGGGTCCAGGCAATCGAGTTTGATCTCCTCCTTCTCTGACAGGCATTCTGTAAAATCTGGGGCACACGGGCAGGCCCCCTTCCCTGCTATGGGGTCACATGAACTAAAGCTAATATGGGAGAAAATGAACCACAGACCGATAGGCCAATGGCACACTTCACATACTGCACTTGGTCATCAGGAGATTATCTTGGACTTGGCTTGTGTTTATGGTTTATTGAATAAATCATAGTTAACCAAACCATGACTTACTGTCAGGGTATTTTTATGTGTCATGTTGGCCGCTTTTCTATCCAGTATAGATGCTGAGGGGTGCTAACAAAAGGGAAAAATAAAAATTCAATCCAAAAGGCCAGATTAAAGATCTTTCTTGACAGGCACCCTTCCTAAAAGTGGAGAGAAGAGCTGGATTAACACCATACACTGAATCATAACATGATTAAGTAAGTTTGTAGCTTAATGTGTCATGTGGATCCAACCACGATGATTTATTCAAGAATAAATCCTCTGGAGTGGAGGGGAAGGGCCAGAAGGTTGGAGAAGAGCTAATATTGTTCCCAACTTTTTAAAAGGGGAAAAATTGGACCCAGGAAACTACAGGCCAATTGCCTGACATCCATACCTGGGAAAATCCTAGAAAAGATCATCAAGCCGTGGGTCTGCAAGTGCTAAGAAAGGAACAAGGTGATTACTAGAAACCACCGTGGGTTTGTTGAAAATGAACATGCCAGACAAATCTTACTGCTTTTTTTTTGACAAAGTGACTAGATTAGTAGACCAAGGGAATGCTGTGATTGCAGCATAGTTAGACTTCAGTAAAAGCAATTGATAAAGTTGATCAAAGCTACCTCCTTAATAAAATGGAACAAAGAAGAGAAGGTGGAAGTGAGATATGATGGCAATCTTCAGTACATGAAGGGCTGTCACAAGGAAGAGGATGTGGAGTTATTTTCCATAACTCCCAAAGATAAGACAAGAACCTATGGGTGGAAGCCTTCCAGAGGGAGATCCAAACTTGAAATGAGGAACTTCCTGACGGTGAGAGCTCTGGAGCAGCGGAACAGCCTGCCTCGTGGAGTCATGGATGCTCCATCACTGGAATTTTTCAAGCAAAGTTTGGGCAGCCATTGGTCTGGATAGGATTTCTACAGGGGGCAGGGGGTTGGACTAGAAAATCCTCAAGGCCCCTTCCAAGCCTAGGATTCTATGGTTTTATGAAACCATAGCTTAGCACGTTGCATGCACAGTCAATAGAGGCCAACATAGCTTCAGACATACATCCCATAACATGGAAGTGAAGCTTTAGGCTCATCATTGCCTCTCATCCCTACCTACCTCACAAGGTTCTTGTGAAGATAAGTTGTCTTAGGCTCCTGGAAGGAAGATAGGATATGAATCTCATCCAGACAGAGGCCTGGTCAAACTACTTTGACAATTGTCAGCATTCCCCTTGGGCATCCCTCAACAAATGCACTCCTGAAGATCCCAAGTGCCCTGACTGCCAACCCACGGAGTCTCTGTTCCACCTTCCTTTTCACACTCCTGTCATAGACCCCCTGAGATGAAGTGGACCTTAGAGGTCATCTGGCTCAACCCTCTCCTCGGGGCAGGAGCCACTAGAGCATCTCTGAGCCATGGCCCTCCAGCCTCTGTCTGAAGACCTCACGTGACAGCCTGTATGGTCATGAAGTCTCGCCTGCACTTTCAACCTACTGGTTCTGATCCTGCCCTCTGGGCAATGGAGAAGAAGCCCACCCCTCTTCTGTGGGACAACTCTTCAGATATGTGAAGGCTGCTCCCATATCTCCCCTCAGTCTTTTCTGCCGGTTAAACATGCCCATATCTTCTAACCATTCCTCATATAGCTTGGTCTCCAGACCCTTCACCCTCTTGGTAGCTCTCCTCTAAACTTACTCCAGTTGGTCACTGTCCTTCTTGAACTGGACATAATACTCCCAAAGGGGACTGGCAGAACATAGTGGAGTTACTTCCTGTGGTTTGGACTCCTGATCCAGTTAATGTACCTCTTGTTAGCAGCCACATCTCACTGCTGGCTGCTGCTTAATGCAGGACCAACAGGGACACCCAGATCCCCATCCTGAGAAAATCTATGTATCTGCTTAACTGCATCCAGCCTGAAGATACTTGTCTACCTGGAAGAAGGAATCCTAAGGTGCAGGCCCAGGGGCTTGCTTTCTTCAGTATGACCTGGGCCAGCCATACTGGGAAGGTGATCTGGTCCTCCCAGGAGGCAGAATCATGAGGATGGCCCAAGAGGTCCTACTGGCTGAACTTTTCAATCCAGGGGCTTGCCTGTACTTCTCAGGCAAAGAACACACTTTGGGCATGAAAGACGGGGTTGCTCCTCCATGAGTGCTCTTCTCTAACAAGATTCATGAAATGCTAGCAATATGAGTTCAAAGGGATTTATGGGTCTAGTCCGACAACACAGGAATCGAGTAGCCCACCTGGGGCAGATGGCCATCCAGCCCATCTGAAACCCCCCGGGGTGGGGGAAGCCCCCACAGTTCCAGGCAGACAGTGCCATGGATGCTGACCATCCAGAAAGGTCTCATTCAACCTAGACCTCTTTGCTTTAATGTCAGCCCACCGGTGCTTGTCCTGCCTCTGTTTCTTCAACATCAAGCCCTCTTGCGCATGGCAGCCTTTCAGATAATTTTAAACATCTGTCTTCCCTTTGTCAAGCCAAGAGTGCTCAGCTGAAAGGACTGGATTTCCAGACCCTTTGTCAATCATGGTTGTTCTCTGAACTCTTGAGTTTCTATTGTTTTTAACGTGCAGTGCCACGCTCTGGACGCAGGACGCCCACCAAGGTCTGACCAGCGCAAAGTAGAATGATGGAAGTAGAATCTCCCACAGCCCAGATACGGCCTTTTAGCCGCTGCGTCCCACTGCTTGTTCATGCTCAGCCGGTGGTCCACTCGTCAGCCTCCCCGCAGTGTCCCTGATCCATCTTCCCAGTCCTGTCTCTGATTTCTCCTCCCCAGGAGCTGTTAAAATCATCCTACTAGATTTGGCTCAATGATCAAGCCCATTGAGGTCATTCTGAATCATGATTTTTGTCCTCCAAGGTATTTTCCAGTTGCACTAATGGGATCGGCACTCTTCCATTCTGTCCTCTGAGTCATGCGAAAAGATGTTGAATCAACTGGGCCAAGGACGGAGCCCCAGGGGAACCCACAAACCCCTTTCCTCTGGGACAACGCAGACCCACTGACAAGCACCTTTGGGTCTGGCGGCTCAGCCAGTTGCAATTCAGCCGGGCTGCACTCACCGGGAGACCTGGGCAAACGCTTTCCTGAGAGGAGGTTACACGGCAGCGCAAAGAAGGGGAACTAAATCTATCCAAGGGACGGAGCAGCTGCCCTATAAGGAGAAGTCTGGGATGCTTTAGCCAGGCATGCGGGGGGGGGGGGCATGACATCGTAGCAGCAGCATTTGATCTGGAGGGAGAAGCTTTTCCTCCCCTCCCTGCATCCTCCATCAGAGCTGAGAGAAGGAAATGTTTTTTCACCTACGGAGAGCAAAGGCACATGGTGGAATTTGCTGCCAGAGGGGCTCCATTTAGAATGGATTCGGGGCTTGCCAGGTTGTGCCAGACGCATCTGCAACTCCCAAAATCAGTTTGCACAGGGCAGCAACATGATCCCAAGACCTGCAGGGCTGCGCTTTAAGAAGTCAAATCAAGGGGCTCTGCAACGGCCCACTCCCCGCTTTGCCTTTGAATCCAAACTCCATCTTGGCCCTGATGGGCAGCCTGGAGGGGGCGCTCCCCCTCCAGCCCAGGGTGGGGAGCTGCACAGAAGGGCGGACGGGTGCAGGGTCTGGGGGGAGCTCAGTCCTTCGGAAAAGGGACTGGGCACTTGCGTGAGAACTTGGGACTTGTTGACAAGACACAGCAACTCAGGTGGGGCACGTCTGCCGGCACCAAGCCTCCTTTGGAACGGATGCCACGCAACCGATTTCTCAGGCTGGGCAATTGGGGGCCCATGGCCCCGTCTTTCAAAGGGCCCAGGCCAGCCCTTGTTTCTGGGCTGCTAGCTGGCCCCTTCATTAGACAGCCAGGGCCCCAATCTGGCTCAGGGCTCTTCCACCATGGTCCTTGCAGACACACCGGCCTCGCTCCAGGCTGGGGGACCACCCTGGGGCTTAACAAACAGATGGCACAACCACCTACTTTTAAAATATTTTATTTTTAAATATTAATACAGGACATTACAAAAGGAGAAATTCCAAAAAAACGCTATAAAACCACTCGGGGTCTCCCTGAAACGGAGAGACCCCAGCAAGGCATGGCCCCCTCCGCCTCGTCCTCTTGGCCCGCAGAGTCAGCAACCGTTTTTTTGTATTGGGAAAACACACACATCGGAGGGTGAAAAAAAAGGCCTTGTCCGAACCATCCAAACGGCTGGCAAGTTCCACACCGCATCACGGTTCTATCTTCTCCCAAAACATTGCACATTTAAAGGAGGGAAGTGTTCAGTTCTGTACAACTATACAGGAAGTGGCTGCGCACGGCCTCCGGAGCCTCCGTCCGACCACGGCCAAGCCAAGCTTGCCTCCCGCGGCTCCGCCACCCACCTGAAAGGAGGGGGGGAGGTCACCCTGGGTGCCTTGGCAGCTATGGACTGAAAGGGTCCCCAAGGGGTCACCTCCGTTTTAAGTTAGAGAAACTGTTTTAATTCAAAACGGAAAGGGTGGAAAGTCCACAATCCCACAGAAGAGTCTTGACACAAGTTTTTAATTCAGGGGGGCGGGGGGGGATGGAGAAGGTGACAAGATGCTGTCTGGCAAAGCAGCTTTGGACACCTGCCCCCGGTCCCCTCCAGGCCCGACAACACGGCCAGCCCCGGCCTAAAGCAAAACGTAATTGTCAAGGATAAGAAACGTTTCTTTAAAAATCTCCCCCTGAAGAGTTAAAAGACAGCCTACGCACCCAGCAGCACCCAAGCAGATCTCACGCCCCTCTGCCCACCCAGGCTTGCCCTCCTGCCCCCAGAAAACACACCACCACCACCACCACCTGGCGACCCACCGGAAGCAGCCCAGCCCCCCGCCCCCTCAGTGGTCGCCCTGCAGCTCCCGTTCCCGCCCACCTTCCGCCGGGAGCCCCCTCGTGCCCCCCCCCGCCAGCCCTTCCTGAGGAATTAAGAGGAAAACCCAACACAGACAGGAAGAGACTAGTCCTTATGACATTTCTATTAGAATACAAAGAGGATCCTTCCGTCCAAAGCGCCCCGAGCGCCAGGCCCCTGCTGCGTCTCAAAGCAGGCCGTGGCTTGCTGGAGAGGGCTGATTCGGTCCAATGCCGCAGGGTCTGCGTGCGCAAACAGAAGGCGGACAGAGGCGGCCCTTCTCCGTGCCTGGCACGGGAAGGGGATCCAGCTCTGGCTGGGGTCTGCTCCTGCTGCGTAGGACGGGGCTGGCGTTGTGATCCCCACCGGCTGCAATCCAGACGGAGTGGGCAGGAAAGAGGAGAGGAGCCGGGGTCTATTTACAGGGCTCTGGTGTTCCTTGATGAAAAATGGACAGTCACTCCCCAGCCAGGCTCTGGAGAAGAAAAGCTCCCTGGGAGCGGACCTGGCACCCCCGAGGCTCACGCAAAGCAGGGACACCAGATCCAAAAGGGAACCTCCTGAAGTGAGCCAAGCTGCCGGGGGGCGTGGAGGCACAGTCAGACCAGAGCGTGTCTCTTGCAACGGGAGGACATGGTTTGCAGCAAGAGGCAGGTGGGCCCTGGGGCGACGCCCAGGTCAGGTGCAATGCGGCTCGGGCGCGGCGTGAAGTATTGCTGCTTGGAGGGCAAGCTGGCTGGCAGGCAGGCAGGCAGGCAGGCTGGCAGGCAGGCGTGGCCCGGCCCAGCAGCTCTAGGAGCAGGGCAGGTGTTGCTTGAGGATTTGACGGGTCTGGGGGGCTATTCTGTCCGGAAAGCGGACTTTGAACTCCACGATCAAGTCCCCACGCTGGGAGGGCACCTTGGGAAAAGGCAGGCCCTCCCCACGCAGCCGCTTCACAGTGCCTGGCTTGATGATGTCGCTGCAGGGCAGGGGGATCACGCGCCCGTCCACTGTGGGGATGTTGACGGTGCAGCCGCAGAGGGCCTGGAAGGAAGGAAGGAGAGACCCGGCATGAGCAAGGCCGCTCGAGGCCATAACGCTGCTGCGCCCTGCCAGTGGGAAGCAGGGCGGCAGGAAACCCAGACCAGAACTTCTGCAGGGCATCTTGGGGCACAACCCTAACCCCTCAGAGACCAAGCCCTGGCAAGACAGCTTGAGGATGAGCCTCGATGGCCTCATGTAGCCCCAGCCCTTGGGCAACCTAGCCAAAACTAGGGGACCAGCCTCCTGCGGCCTTCCCAGCCTGTCAGGGCCAGGTGGTGGGCAGGAGCCCAAGACAGGCCCTGCTCCCTTCTCCTGCCTGGGCCAACTTCCAGAAGTTGAAGCTTCTGAGTGCTGCCACCTCCAGCCTGGCCAGAACTGGGTTACTTCTGCCCAAGGCTGACCCAATCAGCTGCCAAAAAGCGGTCACAGCTGTGACCCACGTGGGGCAGGAAGAGCAGCCCTGAGAGGACAAGGTCTGGAGCCCCGTGAAGAGGCTGACGCTGGTGCCACCCAACAAAAATGAGAGACCTGCCTCTGCCACCTCCTGGGCCATCCTGAGCCCCCAGCAAAAGTAAAGCCCCCCCAACAGCAAACCCAAAACAGACCCCTCCCATTTTGCCCCATGGCCTCCAAGGCTCCCATTTTTCCACAAACAAAACACCCTGAGGCTCAGTCTGCTGTCAGAAAGACCGCAGTCTCTTTCCTGCCTTCCACCACCATCCTCAATTCTTCCTGCCCCCTCCTCTCCAACCACAGACAGCAAAGCCAGTCCCAGCATCTGGAACAGGTAGGGAATTTCTCTCCCTCTCCTGGAGGACCATTCCTGCCCAGCTACCCAACAGGCAGCCAGCTCTGCCCACTCCCGCACCCTGCTCTCCCTCATGGACCATCCTCCGGTGGTTCTTGCCAACGTGCTGGTCTCAACAAGCCATGGTACGAGGAGCTGGAATGGCTCAGAGGCAGCAGCTGGCACGCCTGCCTCCCTGCCCCTGAACTCCACTTGTCAGAGCCAGACGAACAGGCCGTGCAGCCCAACAGCAAGACCTCAGAAGTGCACGTGGAAAAACAGGTAGCCCCAAATCTGCTCAAAAGGAGCTGAACGCTTGCTAATCTTTCCCGAGATTACTCTTTCGTAACACCTGGCCTCTACCACTTGCTGGCTTCTCTTTACTGGTCAGAAAGGGCCAGGGGAATCCCTGAGCATCGAGGAGTTTGGGAGCAGCTCAGGAAAAGAGCGACTGCGCCTTTGGTGACGGCCGGGGCTCCCAAGAGCAATGGCAGAGAGCTCCAAGAAGAAGCAGAGGCCAAGGCCGGGCCCCAGCTGGGGGGTGCTCTACTCTGCAAGAGGCCATGCCCCTGTTTAATTAATTAATTTGATTAAGGGGCTCCACTGACAGGAGGCCTGTACATACATCCTCTCCTAAAAATTAAAACTCCACCTCCATTCCCAAAAAATACAGTTTGGAGGATGTTCCCTGCTGAACTGCGTCCAGGTGGCAAGAACAGAAGCATCTTGTCACAAAAGCTGAAAAATTCACAGTTGGCAATATCTTTAGTAGGAGCCATTGACAGCATGCAAGCTTTTGAGCTCCCAAAACACGGCATGAGGAAAAGGAGGAGAAATAGCAACGGGTGGAAAGGAGAACAGCCTAATGGTTAGGCCAGCTTGCAGACACCTGGCAACCTCTCCTCCTGGGGGGAAAAATATTAATTTTGGTTTTCAAGTGCTATTTTGGGGGAAAGTCGGACCCAAGTAACTCCATCGGTTCCCTCTATTTACTGAAACCCTGAAGTGTCTTTAAACAAAGGGAAGAAAGGCAACTATGTGCCATCACGTTGGTACTGACTCTTAGCCACCATGCAAATAGACCCTCCGCTCATCTTGTCTAAGACCACGTGGACAGGCGAAAAAGGCACGCACCTTCTAAAATGCAACCACGACCTACCTTGGCTATGTTGGGGAAAGCTGTTGACTCAGGTCTCCCTGCCTGTCTGACAGAAGAGCCTCAGTGTGCTGACCTTCATTCCTCCCTTCGGGACCCAGTTCTCCAGTCCTGAGGGTCACTAACCTCTGTCCCTCAGAAAGGAGGCAAACCCTTGCACACCAACTCTGCTCCTTCATGTGCTCTTTCTCCTTATTTTATGTAGGACTAGAAGACTAAGCCAAGGGCCAGCAAAAGCCAATGGAGACAGCCAGCTGTCCCCAATGTCAGCCCTCCGTGATTTTGCATGAACACCATCAACTTGGTATCAGCACCCTACGTCCAACAGAGCTGTTCCCACCCAAGGACCCACCTCTTTAAGACTGATCATGGCTGTGTAGATGATGTTTGTCCCATCACGACGGAAATGAGTGTGTGGCTTGTCCTTCAGAATGAAGACAATATCAGCTGGGATGTTGTCTGGGGTAGCATCTCCTTCCTTGGGGAAGGTGATCTTAGTGCCTTCCTTCCACCCTCTCTTGATGACGATGTTTAGGATCTTATCCTCTGTCCGCACTGTTCGCCCATCCGGGTTCAGCCGCCGGCGGGTGATCTTCATCCGCTTAGTAGCACCATGGTAGATTTCTTCCAGAGAAACCTTGAGCTCATGAACCACGGGCGGATCCTGCACCTTCCGGCGCATGTGGATGGGCTCTGGGTGCCGCCGATGCACACCGTTGATGCCATTGAAACCAAAACGGCTGAAAGCACTGAACGGATCATCACTATCGTCATCAACATCCATGTCCTCATGGTCAAAGCCATTGAAGACCCTGGATCGGCCACTACTGAAAAAGATATCGAAGGGGTTGGAGCCCCCAAAGAAGGAGGCAAACGTGGCATGAGGGTCCCCGTGGAAGGTGTAGTGGAAGGTGCTCCCAGAAGGGCCGGCAGGACCACCACCAGCTTTGAGTCCTAAAAGAGAGCCAAAGAAAGGAACGATCAGTGAAGGAGCAGGCAACAGACCAGAGATGCTGCTTGGCCCAGGAGCAAAAGGAGAGTCACCAGCCCTTGCCTACCTACAGCCCTTGACATCCAGGCCAACCTCAGCCCCATCCTCAAAGTCTGGCCCTGCTCCAGCCTGCTTTGAGAGTGCAGCCCTCGGCACGCTCCACACAAGACCTGCTCTGGCCCTTGACCAGGAGGCTGCACAAGCCTCTCAAAGAAGAGCGGGAAAAAGAGGATCGCACAAACCCTTGAGGTGGCTATCCAACTGGCAAAAGAGGAGTGGGCGCATCTGCAGCACCCCAGGATGATCCCCCCCCTCAACCGTGAAACACGGGGTCCAGATTAAGCACCATGGGGCACTCCACCCCCTCTGACGGGGAGGCTGATCACAAGGGTCTAAGCGCTTCAGCCGGCCAGACTCCACGGAAGCCTTCTGCAAGGACAAAGCCACCAGTCCGGTCCACGTTAACTGAAGAGGAAGCGACGTCCCCCTGAGCAAAGAACGATAGTCGTGCCTCACAACCTCTGCTCAAGTACCAAAGAACCAGAGAGAAACAAGTTCAGAGCCCTCCTCCCTCTAACTTTGCATGGATGCAAGGAAGGCCTCCCAAGTTCTTACTTTTAACACGTTCTGGCTGTCTTGCAATTCGTCCCAAATACTCAGAGACACCGTGCTTTTGACAGGCATCAGGAAGAAGGCCCTGAGACATCTGACTAAAGGTTCTGTCCCTCCTGCATCCAGAGGGACCCTCGCTGATCCAAATCATCCATGAAAAGGACTCCAAGATAAGCCAAACGGCAGGGCTGGAGGAAAGCAGCTGCCACAGAAAACCCGGCCCCAAGGGGGAGAACAGGCTGTGTGGGAGAAGAAGGGCCCAAACCCTTCAAGATGACCAGCCCAACCCAGCTGCCTGTTGGGGGGGGGGGCTTCCTCAGCAGAGCCCTCTGATTCACAGGGCAAGGAGCGGGTGGAGGAGGAAAGCAGGGGCAGAAGGCCAGGAGGGCCTTGAGAGCTGGGCCAGCAATTTCTGGACCCCGCTTGAGCAGCCAACCCGCAGCTGTCAGCTTTTAAGAGCAGAAAGCACAAATGCAGTGAAGAGTGCTGCTCAAAAGGAGGGGGAGGGGGTAAAGGGAGGGGCTGCCCCTAAGACAAGGCCCCCACTTTGTGGCCAGAACATTTCCTCCCTCCCAGAAGTGGGCCTTCTCTGACGAACAGGCTAAATTGGGGGGTGGGGGCACTTTCTCTCTCTATAACTCTAACCTCTTGCCCGATTTAGTTCCTCCAAGGGGGAAACATGTAAATGGGCTACTCTCCCAGGATCTTCAGGAACCTCATTTCCTCCCCAGGAACAGCAACAGGAGCAATCAGGTCTTGTCAGTCACCGCTCCGACATAATTAGAAGGTCCGCTCAGAGCCGAGAGCAAAGAGCTTTTATTTTTAGACCCTGCTGGAAGCCAGAGGCCCCCCAAACTTCCCCGAGGAATAGCCAATTTCCCTTGCCCTCCTCCCCAGGCCTTTGGCTCTCCCCCCACCAGCCCTCCAGGCCCAAGAGCTGCCTGCTTTCCAAAAGGTCAGGAGGTGGAGCAGAAAGGGGAGAGAGAGCATTGGCAGCGGGGGTCCTACAGCCGGGCAGCAGCCTTGGTGCCCCTCCTGCTCCCCCCAGTGCCATCGGCTGCTTCTGTCCCCTTCCCTGCTCCCTTCCTCACTCTTCAAAATCTGCACTGGGGATGCAGAACACAAGCAAAGCAGACAGGCGCAGCTGAGCCCCAACAGGGGCCTTTTGTTCTATGCAAGGCCGGGCAAATGGGCCCAAAATTCTTGACCCCAGGGCTTGTGTTCGGCAAGTTAAGTCCAGGACAACTCCAGCCGTCAAGCCCCTGTTTGTTTATTTAATTTATGCCTTTGCCTGGCCTCTCAGTTATTCCCAGCTCCTCCGTAACAACAACAAAACAGCCTGCCAAAGTTGCCACGCTCCCTCGCTGCCAAATGGCCCGGGATAGCTTCTGAAAGAAGGAGCGATTACTAAACTTGGGAAAGGCTCTTCAGGTCCACAAGCGCGCACACGCACACGCACACACACACGCACATCCCGTGAGAGCAGCAGCACCAGCAGCAGCATGGACTGAAAAGGAAGCAGAAGACACCGGCGCCCCCCCCCTCACGGCGCAGGGAAGGGCCTCTCTTCGACGCATCACATCGTCCCGCAAACACCCGTCTGCTCTGCAGAGCCAGGAGGAGCCCGGCCCCCAGCACCACTCCCATTCGGAGGGCCCCGGGCAGAGAGGAGCCTGGATCTGCCCCTGCCTCCAGAAGCCCCCAGGGGCCCCTCTTCTGCAGCCCCCCAACTGCCTTTGCCCGACAGCGAATCGGGAGGGACGTGGGGGCAGCGGCTCCTGGCTGACTTTGTGGCCTTTGGCCAGGAGGAAGCGTTGGGGGACCAGAGAACCTTCCGCCCCCCACCCCAAGAAGTGCCCAGCCCGGCCAAGGCAAGCGGGCTTGCTTACCCTCCTCCCCGTACTGGTCATAGACCGCCCGCTTCTTGGGGTCGCTCAGCACATCGTAGGCCTCGGCTATTTCCTTGAACTTGTCCTCCGCGTGGGGATCCTTGTTCTTGTCCGGGTGGTACTTGAGGGCCATTTTGCGGTAGGCTTTCTTGATCTCATCCTCGTTGGCCCCCGACTGGATCCCCAGGGCCTTGTAGTAGTCCTTCCCCATGGCCGTGACAGTCCCAGACGCAGACTCCTTGTTCCTGCACGAGGGAGGGAGAGGGAGGGAGAGGGAGATCAAGACCGAGCGAAGGGGCGGACCGCCGGGGAGCCGGCCAGTTGTTATTTGGAGGACACCACGTGACCCGCTCCTGCCCTGCCCACGAAGAGGCGTGAAGGGACAGCAGAGGGGACCCTCCGCCCGCCCGCTCCGCCGCACAGGGGCCGAGGAGGGCCGGCTCCCGACGACCGCGGCTGGCGGCAGACTGCCTTAAAAGAACTCTTCCTCGAACGACGCGCAGCTGAGAGTTCACGCAGGGACACGTTCCCAGTGTGTACCGGCGGGGAGACGGCAGAGGATGGAGCTGTTAGACGGAGACATCTTGCGATGGTGGCAGGCTATTTTTAAAGAGCTTCCTAGCC